AGCTCCCATAACAGATTGTATGTCTAAAGGCAACTTTGTTTAGACAGATGCGGCCTACGATAGTTTCCGGGTGATCAAAAAAAGATCAAACAGGTCATTGTCTTGGCTTTATCGAATTTTTACAAAGTTTTTCAGGTGGATTGTGATGCATGCCATGTTGGATTTGGTCTGTTTCGAGCCAAGAGATTAGGCTCCGCTGCTTTCTTCAGTGAGAAGTTAAGTGATTCTAAGTCATGTTTTTCGACATGATTTGGAGTTCTTTGCGCTCGTGCAGGCACTTAGGCAATGGAGGTAGTACTTGATTCATCGGGAGTTTATATTGCATTCTGATCTTGAGGCTTTGAGGATCTTAAGAACTCAGAAGAGTTTGAATAGAAGACATGCCAAATAGGTTTCATACTTGCAAGAATTTACATTTGTAATCAAGCATAAAGTGGGAATCAAAATTGATTAGCTGATGTGTTGAGTAGGAGATCCATGCTGTTGAGTGTTTTATTGACTTTAGTTGTAGGCTTTGAAAGAGTCCCACAACAATATTCTATTGACCGCTGAAATTGTTGAGTAGGTACACCAGAGAGACCCAGAAGCTACTAAGCATTACATTTTGCCTGATGGTTTTCTTTTCAGGGGTTGCCTCTGCACACCAGATGGCTACTTGAGGTTGACGATATTTTCTAAATTACATGGTGGTGAACTGCCAGGTCACTTTGACAACAGCTGTACTTCAGCTTTGGTGGAGGACCGATGTTTTTAGCCGCAACGGGGAAGAGAGGTTGTTCGGCATTTGGCCAGATGCCATACATGCCAGCTCGCGAAAGGACCTAGAACACCAGGTTTACACTCCATTACCAGTACCACGACAACCTTGGGAAGATATCAGTATGGATTTTGTGGTGGGATTGTCGAGAACCTTGGGAGGTTGGTGCATTTTATAGCTTACCAAAATACCTTGGATGCTATGCAGGCAACCAACCTGTATTTCAAAGATGTTGTTCGATGCATTTGTAGCTTGCTGAAATACCTTGGATGCTACACAGGTAGCCAACCTGTACTTCAGAGGTGCTATTTGGCGTCACAGTGTTCCTAAAACGATCACTTCAGATCGAGATACACAATTTGTGAGCCATAGGAGGAGGGCCTTTTGGCGAAAGATGGGGATACAACTACAGTTCAGCTGTTCATCATCATCATCATCAGAGCGTTATGCCAATTATTTGGGGTCGGCTAGAGGAATCATGTCCCGTTATTCTGCTCTATCAAGAGTCATACCTATTAGTCCCTATATCTTTTCTCACTACTTCCATCCATGCCATTTTGGGCCTTCCCTTTGCCCTTTTAGAGCCTTCCACTTGAACCAAGTTGCACCTCTTAACCGGTGTTGTATGAGGTCTGTGCTGCACATGGCCAGCTCATCTAAGTCTACTTTCCTTCATCTTATCACTTATTGAAGCAACACCTAAGTTCCCTCAAATATATTCATTCTGAATTCTATCCTTTCTTTTCTTTCCACTCATCCATCTCTTAGACAAATCCTATTCCCTTGAACTAAGCTTTTTCACCTGTGCTCTTCTGACGTAAGAATCCTTGCCTATTTTTCACCGCAACTGGGTGGTGCTGTGGCCCATTGCTTTTGGGGAATGCCCTAGCTAACCCTTGCTCATTTCTCACTGTACTTGGGTGTCGGTACAATACGTTGCTTACGGGGAATGCCCTAGCATGAGCAAATAACATAGATTCAAGATTTATAGAAAGTTGCAGCCTAGTTTTACATTTGTTGCCTAGCTCACACAACCCTCCTCCTTACCCGGGCTTGGGACCACCATGATCAGCAAGGGGCTGGCCAAGGCGGAGTTTGGGCATACCATCCTCAAATAGATGGAGTAGGAGTTTGGCAATCTTTTGCACTATTTGACAGGTGGGTGATCCACAACACTAGGATTTGTTCTTGTTTGAAGCTGAATTTGCATATATCAGTGCTAGCAATAGGACGACATGGCAATCACCTTTTGAAGTGGATTATGGCAGGAATCAGAAGCACGTATTAGATTTGGTGAATTTGCCTGATATGGAGCGAGCTAGTGATGATGCAGGGGCTTGGGATGAGGACATCTGAAATATCCAGTTGGAGGTGACAGAAAAGCCTAAGATGAAAATGACCAGTTGCAGGGAAAGTGTTAATCAACACAGGCAGCGAAACGAGTTTAAAGAGGGAGATTTGGTTCTGGTCTACCTATGGAAGGAGAGCTTTCCTCGAGGGCAGTACCATAAGCTGAAGTTGCCATGTTCTGAAGAGATTGGGAGAAAAAATGCATATAAAGTGGAACTTCTGGCAGGTTATGATATCTTGCCCATATTTAACATTGTGGATTAGAATGACTACCATGGTGAGAATGATGAAAAGATGGTGACTGATTGGCAGGACAGTTCTCGGAATTCAAAGATGAGGTGATTGATTCTATTATTGGTACCAGGATTATTACCACAAGGCCTGGATTATATACACACACTACATAGTATCTTGTCCATTGGCAAGATAAATCTAAAGCAAAAGATTTGTGGATTTCAGAAGCTGAATTTTAAATTGTAGATCTTTACAGGTGGAAGCAGCACATCAAACAGAACTTGAGGGCGAGTTCTTCTATCTAGGGGGTTGATGCAATCATGTTGATGTCATGCTGATGCCATCCTCATATTTTCTGTTATTTATTTCTTTATTTTCTAATTCACGGACTTGGAAGGTTGTCTTTGGGATTTTACTGATGTTTAGGGGTGGCATGACACTTTGGAGTATTTGTTTGTTGGGTTAGTTTGGTACTTTATTATAATTAGGGTTTAGTAGATTGGTTATTTAAAACATTGTTAAGAAGCTAGAGTTACTTTTTGGCTGATTTTATCACTGTAGAGAGACTTCTCTCCATTGGAGCATCTCTAGCTTCAATTTTACCGAATTGTCTTTCAGCCCTAATTTTTATTGGATCTTGTTTATCAATTATTCTATACTTTGCGTTGCATCAACCCAATCTCCATTCCATAGTTACCGGGATCTCCTCCCTTGCTTGGCGATCCCTTGCAGAACCTCGATTCTCTCAATCCCGGAGCGGATCTCGTCTTAAACTCAATTTAGTGTTTTCGGGATCTCACTCCATCTTGTAAGGGAACGAATTCCTTGCAATTTAATTTCGCATTCCTAAACACTACAAGATCCAGTTCCCTAGTCTTATGGTTCATGTTCCAGAGTGTATTGGGATCTAGATTACAAAATAACGGAATACAAGCATCTCCATAAATGGCATCCAGATCCCACCAATATGGGATCGCAAGTGTGAAATGATGGAATATCTCTCTCCCCCTTTCAAGTGGTTGTAAAATCCTGATATTGGATGGTAAATTACAAAGCCAAGGTTTTGGACGTTGTTCTCTCTCCCCCCTTCCATTCTTGCAAAGTTATACAATGCCCTCCCTCCTTGTGTACAACCCCTCGCCCCGCACCACACAATACCACCAAATCCTCGCCCACTAATATTTTATGATAATTTTACATCAATAGTTATGATATTTTATGGTAATTTTAAATCAATAAATAATTGCTCAGCAATCCTCAATAATGAGTACTCACCTTTATTTCTTTTTTAGAAACCAATAAATTCCATATATATATGGTGTTGGGCTGCATTTCATTACACAACTATTTAGAATGTCATAATTTGTTTAATGAAATAATCTATCTACTATATTAATATAATGAACAATGGATTAATTTGAAGTTCCTTGTTTATTTCATAGAAGACTAAGCCTACATTTTATTGGTCAACAATGTTGGAGCTACATTTTCAAGCCATGGATAGTTATTTAAACCTACACGAGGAACTCGTGTTCTAAGAAATGCAGCTCGCTCCTATAAAAGTTATTCCTCGCTCCATAATATGTTGGATCACTTTTACTGATGCGCCCCTTAAGAAACTCAAAAAGATGCCCTTGGAACTCCGCTTCTTACGTATAGGATCTCGCACCTTTATACAATAATTTTTTATCCTATGTGAAATAGGAGCTTGATCCCCAACACACATGGACCTCAATCCCTACCTTTGAGGCTGTACGGGCATTGATCCTTAACACATGGATCTTAAATATAGCTACGATCCACCAATCCTGGCCCCAATCCCCGAACTGTTCTCATTCCCATATCCAACACTATGCGCCAGTCTAGATTCTATAGAAAGTTCATGCATGGGCACTAGTTGTAGCTTTGGATTTTTACAAGTTTGTCGGCTATGATGTGGGATTTTTATGTTGAGTGCTTAATGCTCTTGTGAAGATAGTTGGATACTGGAAGGTCATCCTTGAAGAAACTCTTTATGTCTGAAACTGAGGAAACTTATCCTTGAAATAAACCACATTTATACTCTTCAATGCTATGCTGAATAGTTTATGAATTGCTCATTGAGCATGTGGTTTATAGAAATGCCTAAATACACAAAGGGCAATCATCTGGAGTTACTATCTATTTGAGTAGGCTTGGAGTTGCGATCTACATAAAACAGATCAGGAATCATAACGTTCTCTTTGCACAGCTTTCAAGGTCCTTTCTAATAAGAGTGATCTGCAAGGGAAAGACTGAAAATCTAAAAATCCAGTGAAATATGAGGAAATTTAGACTTTAAAGGCAACAAATAGCTGTTATAACATGAAAACTCCTTACAAGAGTACAACCGATTATAAGAATATTTAAGATTGGAACTTCTGATAGCTGATGTGTTATGTGAGGCTACAGTATTCTGCATGAAATGTTTGTCAGGTTCCTTTTCCAGACTGGTCACTGTAAATGGGGTTCAGATGCAGGGTTATCTCTGTTTTAAAGATATCTCATTAGCTCTTGAAATTACAAATTGCAATTATACCTCTGCTTGATGTTGACCCTGAGCTTCTTTATTGTTCATTGTGCTATTTTTGTTTTTCAATTCAAAAGTTGGTGTGCTAATTCCTGTCACTGAAACCCTCAGGTTAGAAGAATTTCCCTTAATGGTGATCAGTGTGGGGATGCTGAACCACTAGAAGTTGGTGCACAGCCTAAGGATCTGAATATTGCAGTTCAATCTCCTGAGCTTGCTCTGGTTTCAACTGATTCTGGGGTTGTTTTGCTTCGGGGCCCCAAAGTGGTGTCAACCATCAATTTTGGCTATTTTGTGACGGCATCTGCCATAGCTCCTGATGGTACTGAGGCTGTGGTGGGTGGGCAAGATGGGAAATTGCATTTTTACTCAGTTCATGGTGATACTCTTACTGAGGAGTCAGTCATTGAAAGGCACCGCGGTCCTATCAGCGTCATACGGTTTTCCCCTGATGGATCGATGTTTGCTTCAGGGGACCTCAACCGTGAAGCTTTCGTTTGGGATTGTGTCTCTCGAGAGGTAATATGCAAATACTTGTTCTGATATTTGCAACATGTTTTAGGTTGGATATCATAAATGCAAGTGCAAATAGAAAAATTATGGGTAGATATAGCACTCCTACATCTATCTCTGGGTTGTGTGGAAACAATTCAATAATAATCCTCGACTGGAAATCCATAGCCATGAGGTCCATCACTGTACCATCAATGAGTCGATGCGGAGACAGTGGGACCGACTAACTTGATTGAATGGTCCGATCTTGTGTTCCATCCATTTATTAGATGAAAATTGCTCTCATGACTATGGATATTCCATAATTTTCGAGGACTAATATCCTGTGCTACATAATTTCTGCGGACAACTTCTCAAGAAAATCAGATATGAGAATCTCTGTAGAGAACCAAATCGATCACCATATTACTGACACCATTACTTATTGCAGGTGAAACTGAAGAACATGTTGTACCACACTGCACGCATAAATTGCATAGCATGGTCTCTTGACAACCGCATGGTGGCGACCGGCTCCCTCGATACATGCGTTATCATCTATGAAGTGGACAAGCCTCCTTCAAATCGAATAACGATCAAGGGGGCCCACTTGGGTGGTGTCTATGGGTTGTCTTTTAGTGATGAGACAAGCTTGGTGAGCTCAGGTGAAGATGCATGCATCCGTGTCTGGACACTGACGCAGCAGTAGTGGCATGTGTCTCAATACTGTTCTGGCATACACAGATTGTTATGTGCCACGTCAGCAAGATGGGGCCTTTGTTCATTGTGTGGCTCCTGGGCTTTGGTTGGTTGCTTATTGTTGTACAATTACATCTTCTTTTTTTTGGGTAAATATGTTGTACAATTACTTGTGTGATGAGCGTGTTCCTTTTGGAGGTTTTGTGCTGTATTTCCCAAGGAATGTTTTTGTATTTATATTCTGATATTGCAATTGGTCATGTGTTGTGCTTGAGAGTTTGATGGAATTGACATGTTCTTGACAATTTTATGAAATTTGTAGATGGTGAGTTGAAACTGTGAGATGGACCTTCATCACTCCTTTCTATTTTATGTATATCTAATTTATAGCTCGTGATGCTTAGTTGGTTGAGGGCAGCCATGATGTGTACCAGATTACTGTTTGGATTATGAGAAATTTATTGCTGCACTCGTTAGTTATTAATTTGGATTGTTGTAGGGTTTGATGGGGGTTTGTTATGAGCTTGGATTTAAGGTTAACTGGGTTGTCTCAAGTGTAGGTCTGGGTTCTGTGTCAGCTGACTTTCCGTTATGAATGGTTTGTAATCATGCCCACTTTACTTGGGCTTTTGATGCTACTTTTCCTTTTTGATTGCTTGTTTGTTTCTTGATGCTTTTTTTCTTTTTCAGGATTTTAGAATACTTGGATTATTGTTGTCAGTAGGAGGGTTGAAAGGGTCAAGAAAAAGGTGGGGAGTAGACCATGAGACCATTTCACATCTAGTACGGCCAATGATATGTTATGATAGCATACAAACCCAAACAAGAAAAATAAAATAAAACAAAACTAAATAAAATCGAAGCTGAAATATCGGAGTACACAAATTGTGGAATGGTTAGAAATCGGAGTACAAAAGTTTTCTCATATATTTATTTATTGAAAATGAAAAGCGAAAAGCATTCTCAGACAAGAGCTTTGTTTCGAAAAGATAAAACTTTTTTTTCTGTTTTTCCTCGAAAACATCAACTGCTGTATCCTATTTTCATATATTTTTTCTTTATTATTACGTTGTTTTTAGTTTAAAGTTTTTATTTTCAACTATTTTATGTTGTGGTAATATAATTGGACTTTTTAACTGTTTAAAAATTTAGCTATTCATAACATCTATACATCATAAAGTCATATATACTATTTTTTAATTAATTACTGCCAAGAGGTTTGGAAATTTAGGAAACAGATGAAATAGGATTTAACTTATCTACACTTTTTTTTTCTGGTCGGCCAGTGGGGAAAAATGTAGGACATAGCCTACCAAATCATCAAGCGCTAATCCATTAAGCCTGGGCTCTTTTCCAACTTATTTACACTCTTTGAAAGAGAAGTTATGGGAATCTTTGAAGTTAGAGATAGAGATAGATTTATTCCATGTGCTCAGAGATGAGGAATGTGAATGTAAAGAGAAGTTATGGGAATCTTTGAAGTTAGAGATAAAGATAGATTTATTCCATGTGCTCAGAGATGAGGAATGTGAATGTAACATAAGAAAGAATTGTAAAGTTACTCATCATTCCAGAGAGAGGTTTTTAATAAAATTTCAGAGAGAAAGAGTGCAACTCACAATTCATGCTCATATTTATTCTCCCTCAGTAATATGTGTCAACACAGACCAGGTTAAGTTGTTCCAACCTATACAGGCACCCTTTGGAAGAGAGGATTATTACTTCTAGATTAGTTCTTAGGTACATGTGATATATCCCTGATCAGTGTTGATGGTGGGGGGATGATGCTCAGAAGCACGAAAGCTTGACAATGACATTCTAATGACAGGTAGAGGATAGCAGAAAACAATATTAATATAGAGCAGGGGTCTCACGCACGTCATGCAAGGAACAAACTAATCTAGTTATACTAGAGGTGTGACTTTGTGGTGATGGTCTAATGGTCCGGATTGGACCGTCCGAACCCACCGTAAAGCTAACCTGATTGGGACCTGACTGACGCTCGAGCAGAAACTGAGGATGCACGTGCAAGTGCAGCCGGGACTTGGTGAAGGTTATATGCAAATCCTTGCGGGGGGGGCCTATTAGCATGTCGTCGAGGAGGCGATTACATGTGAATACTAATTGGTCATCAACACCCTAAGGTGGGCGCATGTGGCCTAAAATCAGGCCCCATGAGGCCACATCCTAGCTTTAGGAGGCCACTTCATGGCCTTATACGGGCCTTGTTGTGGCCGTTTTACAAGCTAATCCTGATATGTATGCAAGGATATCTGACCGGACCACAATATGCTCTGAACTGTTTTTGGCAAGAGCAAGGGACTTTGAGATTAGGTTGATGGCCACATGTGATTGCCATATCAGGCCTACACATGGACATTTCTTTTGCTCGAGCCCCAGTTAAGGCTCTCGAAAACTTAAAGACTTGATAGGTCTCACAGTGAGTGACAAACTATTTATCCTCCATTTCCATCCAAGGTTGTAGGTACGATAGGAGAGAGGGGCGACTTGTAACAATCATTAACTTTCAAAAAAAAAAAAAACTTTTAATAAGTGATGGTCCATATGAGCATGATGGTCTTTAGAGACCATCACTACTTTCAAAAGCTTTTGGTTTAAGTTTTTACTGCCTTGCCACGTCTTAGTGGACGTGGACTTTAAACGTTTAGGTATAATATAATTGTTACACCTCATGTATGAGGTGTAACTTAATAAAATAATATAATAAGGTATCTTAAATAGGAGAGGCGAGGAAGGTATCTTAAATAGGAGAGGCGAGGACTCCCACCCTAGAAAATTTTTAAGATCTTTCTCTCTCTAGTCGAAACGCAGTGAGCTCTTTCTTTCTCTAGCCGAATTTTTATCGGAAGCTCATTCTCAAATATTTTAGGTAAGTGACTTCATTATCTTGAAAAATAATCAGTTCTTTCTAAAATGAAATGAAATAATTACTTCTGCTTATTATCATGAATTTTAGGTGCGATAAATTTTATGCGTAAGCGACCTCATTATTTTGAAAAATAATCTTTTTAATAAAATTGTGATATTTTATCTATGTTAGAAATTTTAAATGCTGTAAATTCTTAGAAATAAATTTATTTATTTTTCTTGTCTATTGTTAGAAAATGTTAGATACTGTAAAATTATTAGAAATAAATGTGATATTTCTACTTTTAGTAAAATTGTGTGATTTCTTTCTACTGTTTTTTAATATTTAGACATTGTAAATTTTATATGCAAATGACTGCATTATTATTTGAAAATTGATATTTTTGTATTTGATTATAGCATTGTCTGTTAAATGTTTATTTACGAATTAACATCCCATAAATTGTGATAATTCCATGTTCTTGAATTTCTATAAGAATTTTTCTATACATATTAGATTGGCAATTATGCTAAAATGTCTTTACGAACTGCTACCTTTCTAAATTTGAGCCCAAAATATTTGACTGGTTATTTTTGAAATGTTATTGAAAGTGACTGTTATTAATGGTTTCAATGAAATTCATATTAAAAATTCTAGTGATATGTTGAGTACAGGATATTGCTGCTTTCGAATGTTTAAAGAGATTTAGAAATACTTCAAGTATGCAAGTGGACTCATCCGGTTCGCCGGTGACGTATAAGTGGACCTATCCGGTACGCCGGTAAGGATTAAGTGGACTCATCCGGTACGCCGGTGAGGTATAAGTGGACCTGCAGGGATTAAGTGGACCTATCTGGGACGCCGATAGGACCCATCAAGACGCTGATGGGTATATAGGTGACCTACTTGGGACGCCAGTAGAGTATTTTGTGAAATCTTTTGAATTGTGCACTGACGTTAAAATGTTATATGCATTTCAATTATTCGGATTATACGTAATTATGCATTTTTGAAAGTGAAACTGTTGATGCATTTTTGTTAATAGATCTCCTTTTTGAAAATATTGATATCTTTCAACCATTAGGGTTATGAAGTTCACTTACTGAGTAGCCAAACTCATCAATTTATGGTAAACATTTTTTCAGGATAACTGTGGTTTCATTTTGAGTGCTCGTCAGGATCAACCTTGGAAGATATTGTAGTTGTGCTTAAACTTTCTTTTGTTACTTATTAAGATTTCGTCATTCTACATTTGTCCTAAAAAGAGATGAATATATGTTTTGACTGTCACATCTCAAGAATATCAGCATTGTAAATTCTTGGGGCGTGACAATTATGGTATCAGAGCAATAGGTTTAAGATTCTTAAGAAATTTAAAAAGAATGTACTTAAAATCACATTTATTGCGTATACAGACTGGGACGAAGTCAAGATCCAGATTAGCTGAGGCTAATATGGAAGGAATTCACAAGCCTTGGAAAGTATGGTTGCTCTAATGCAACATCAAAAGGAAAACAACAATTCACCCACGCAGTCAATTACGGGAAATGGTGGGAGTAATATCGAACAATTTAATAAATTGAACCCACCTTCTTTTAAGGGTGTTGTAAACCCACTGGAAGCTGAGGGATGGATTATGCAATTGGAGAAAATATTCGAGGTAATGGAATGTACAGATGATAGGAAGGTGGCCTTGGCAGTTTTTATGTTAGAAGGTGAAGCACAACATTGGTGGCGAATGGCAAAAGGAGTATTGGTCAAAGAAAATAAACCCTTGACTTGAGAAGTATTTTTAGAGGCATTTAATAAAAAGTATTTCCCAGATTTTATTCGAGACCAAAAAGAAATGGAATTTTTAGAATTAATCCAAGAAAACCTAACAGTAGCACAATACGAGGCCAAGTTTACTGAATTGACTAGGTTTGCACCACATATGATTAACAATGAGGCAAGAAAGGTGAAAAAATTTGAAAGGGGTTTCAGACCAGCTATTAGAAGTAGAATATCAGTCTTAAAATTGAGAACTTATGCTGAAATAGTGGATCGATCTCAAATTGTCGAAAAAGATTGCGAAGATTACCAAAAGATGAAAAATTAAAAAAGTCAGGTTAGACCCACACTATCTAATCGACAACAGTTTGAAACGCCAAACAAGAGGCCAAGGCTCTTGCCACTTCAAGCTCAATAGAACCATGTAAAAAATGTGGGAAAAACCATGGATCGAGCCCTTGTTATTAAAATACTAGAGCCTGTTTTAAATGTGGAAAATTGGGGCACCAGATTAGAGAATGTCTTAGCTTACAGATACAACAACTTCCAAAACAGGGAGAGATAGCTCAAAAGCCTCAGACGAAGGGAAAAGTATTTGCGATCACCCAGCAAGACGCTCAGATTTCAAAATCAATGATCCAAGGTACTTTTATTATCTTTCAAAAAGTAGCTCATGTTTTTATTCATCCTGGATCTACCTATT